ACTAAAACAACGTTAAGTATTCTGGATTTTTTTCTTCAACAGCAAACATATAATATTTTAACAAAACAAGCATATGTCCCTCACTTCTCACATTTATCTCCAGTCTTCTTCTCCTTGTCCAGATCTATTCCACCCCCAACAATCTTCTGTTCATTGAACTTTTTCAAACTTTGCACTTTTAGATTGAGGTAAGGGATTGACTCTGTCTACACAAATTTGCAGAGGGACAATAGAGTTGAGGTCTGTTATTTCTCACCTCTATATGTTATTTATTTATTTAAAAACATTTTTGCTGTTAACCAGCATGTTACCTCTGGAGACACAAATCCACAGTTTGAGAACTGCAAAACTAAGCATCTCTGATGGTATCTTCTAGACTGAGCACTGAGTCCCAGTGGGTAGATAGAAAGATTAACCTAAATAATCTATACAGAAGCCTGTGGAACCCCAAAAGATTGGGTCCCTAATCCATGAACTATTGGAACTCATTTACAAAACTTTTCTTAAACATTACATGAATATATTGTCTAATACTATAGAATTAGAAATTATAATCCCTATTGCATGATGAGATATCTTTGAGCTATAATGTATCTTAATTAAAACTATCTTTAGATAAGTTTTTTCCTCAAAAAGCATTTTATCACAAAAAATCCGATTTTAAATAAAAAAATCCATGTTTTTTTTAATCATTGATTTTTATCCACCCTATTCTGCCCCCTCCCCATCTCCTTGGGTGTATCCTTCTGTCTGGCTCTTTCTAGCTCTAGGCTTCCATACAAACAGTTGTTCCTCCACCCCCTCATTTGAGAAGATGAAACCCTGTTTTTGGTGTTTCCAAGTGGAATAGAAGTGATACTTGTATTGGTGTTGGAATGCTTAGCGCCCTGTTTATCTCTGACTTTGCTCCTCCTGAGAAATACTTACAGCTGTCAGCTCGTTTCACTTGTTTTTTGCTTTATAAATATTATTATTTTAGCCATGCTGTTGTGAATTTTTTTTTAAAGAAGCACAGGAGAAATTCCGATAGCAGTGTTTCCATTGTAACATGTCTCCCTCCGCCCCACCCGTTACATAGAGCACTGTCGTATTTTTGCGAGGGAGGATGCAGTTGAACATGTTTCTCACTCTATCACCTTCATCAGCCTGATTGAGTCAAAATGCTTAATAAGCTGATGGTTCCTAAAATTCTGATGTAAATGAGGCTGTTCTTACTCTGTGTGACTGTATCCACCAGGGGCCTGACTAACTCCCAGTGAGTTCGTTGAGAAGATTCCGACTTCAGTAGGAGTTGGATCAGGCTCTAGTGTAACAATCTTGAAGCTGATCAAAGTCCCTTTTGTTCATGAGTAGGATATGAAGCATTCTGCTCGAAACCGGAAGAACAAAGGTTGATCAGCCTCCACTCCTTGAGGTTACTGTTACACTGAAAGTGAGAGCTATTTCCCTTAAACTTAAGGGATGTCATCCTAGGCCACTTCTGCTCCCAAATAAGAGTGAGCATGGGCAGATTTGCATGGAAATAACTAAAGGGGTGAGATTACAACTCGTTTTAGTTATTTTGCTTCTAGTTTCCATGTAGACAAGCCCTCAGGAGCGCCTGTTGCTGATTCTTATGGTGTGTGTTTGTTGACACAACTGAAAGCAATACAATTCCCTTTTCTGCAGGAGAGCACAGCATTTTGCATCAGTGTTAGTTGTATAACATTTAAAATATGAACTTTTTTTAATGCTTTCTTTAAAGAGATGCTGCCAAGTAGTTTCAAGACTGTGGGCCAGATTCTTCACCCTATTTCTGGTCCTTTTGCATCATCAGTGTGGTACAAGGAAGATACAATTTGGTTACAGCTGAAAATTCTTCCATGGAGAAGATTTCTTGGTTCTAAGTCAGCAGAGTCAGCCCCTGCACCAACCTACCCCCTCTTGGTGGAGGAGTTGGCAATTCTCAGCTAGCACATGGGCCCTAGGGGACTGTACCCAGCTGTCATAAGTTCCAGTAGCCTCAAGGCTACACTAATGTACATCAAGGCCATAGCCAGGGAAGCTTGAGAATCAGGGAAACGTAACCAAACCCCTGATGTCCACACTCCCTATGTCCCCATTCGGACTGTATCTTGGTGCAAGAGAGAATCAGGACCTCTATAACCTGGTGCAACAGAGAGTCTGTTTTGCATAAATCTTTTTTTTTTGAGAAAGAGAGAGTGGGGGGAAGGGGGAATCATCACACGTTTGCTATGTTAATTTCTGTGTGTCACACCGTAAGTGCCAGCTGGCTCTACCATAAATGTTTATTAACAAGCATTGTGCCCAGAGTTCTCCATTTCTGCAGACACCACTGATGACTGTGATGCTCCAAGCGTCAGCTAGCTCAGGAACCAGGGAGTCCCTGGTCGTGTTAGCCGCTGGGTCATCCAGCCAGAACATCGCTGATCTGCTTCTCTGTATCCCGTGGCTGGTACGAGGCCTTTCCGTATGAATGGTCCAGCCAAGAACCTGTATCAAAGGGGCTCTTCCAGAGTGAGGCAATAACTCAGAGCAGCAGTAAAGCTTTTACCTATGTCTTGATTTTGGCCCATCATTCTCCTTCCTGGTCCAGTTCTGCATGGTGCTGAGCGCCCAAGGCTTCCATCGATGGCAGTGGGTTTGTCTTGACTAGGATTCAAGGGCGTGTTGCTGTTAGAAGATGAGTTAATGTCCTAAAACTAAAGTCTAGCCAAGTCAGTGTAGACTTTTAACAAGTGCTAAGAAGATTGAGTTGCCACTAGGCTTCAACTGGACCAGCTTAGCACCTGCTTCCCTGACTTGCCACACGAGAATAGGAGGACCTGTTAGCCAATGCCTTCCAACAGCTACGAACCTTTAAATCCTAGTGAAGGCAACTTAATGGGTAGTGAGCACTCGACATCTTGAAGGGCAGGTTCCTTGGTCGTCTCCCATTACGATAACGGTATATCCTGCTTGCACCGTTGGGCCGTCTTTTGGCATTGTGAAACCACATAAGAGATTGTATTATCCGTGAGGGCAGGGCAGGGCGGCTTGAGTGACAGCTTGTGGAGGGAGATGAAGTCTGTATCAAAGGCACTCGTGGTCCTGAGGCACGTGCAACGCTCTCAGATGGTCCCTTGTTTTAGGCCCAAAGTTGCCCACATTCCATATACATTTGGTGGGACTCTCTTCTGTCATTGCAAGTTATTTACATCAGAGGTAGAGAGCCATGAAACCGAGGTTACAGAAAGAATGACTTACAATAAAGGGATGAAGCCTGCAACCTCTTTGAGGCAGGGACCATTTTCTTCTTGTTCTGTTTGTACAGCACCCAGCAAGATGGGGTCCTGGCCCATGACTGGGGCTCCTAGGTGCTACTGCAATAAAAATGAACATATTTCACTTCCTGTGTGAGTAGCCCTGTGTGTCATGTCTGTGTCCATCCATCTCTCATCTCAGGTCTTTGTCACACACTATGTGGTCCAATGGCTAGGGCAAAAGTCTAAGACTTGAGAGTGGGGTTCAATTCCCTGCTTTGCCATAGACTTCCTGTATGACCCTGAGCAAGTCACTTAGCGCCTCTGTGCCTCATCTGTACAATGGAGATAATAGTGCAGCCCTCCCTCAGAGGTGTTGTGAGGATTAATATGTTAATGATTACGAAGTACTTTGAGATAGAGTGATGGAAAAGGCACTATATGAGAGCTAGAAGGTGGTGGTGTTAGTAGGGGCTTGCCATAAATGTGTTGGAGTCTGGTGGGTGCTCTTGAATGTTACTTCTCTGCGTGCAATATCAATTGTCCAGAAGACATGTTCATATCATGGAAACTGTTGTACAGCTTTAACTATCATGGTAACTTCCTGGCTCGACTGCTAGAGTAATGACACCTATTGGATGGCATGGCAGTTAGAATTGCCTCAGCAGTAAGGATCATTTTTCATTTGGAACTGAGTGTATTTACATTCAATGGTGACCCACTTTACTTAGAGATTTTTTATTTCATGAGATACCACAATATTATGAATGCACCCTGAGGCAAACCTGTTTCCCGCCCCCCCATATCTAAGCAATAACTTCTGCTTTCTGCAGCAGGTTGCAAATGACGTAGGATATCCATGATCTATAAATATAACCTCCAAATTGAATACATGTTTGTTTCCAATCCAACCAATTGGAGTCATTCTGGAGGACACATTTCCATGGTTGAAACTTAGTCTGGAAAAAAGAAGAAAAAAGCTGAGGATTTATCTGCTGCTAGGAACATTATCAACATGTTTGACATCAGCAAGGGAGTAAAAATTCTAGGAAACTGTTACAATATTTGTCACAAAAAAGCCATTCTTTTGTTTTAATTCTGGAATTCTCATGAAACATTTCTAGCCTCTCTTTGCTTAAAAGCAAGTTGGTAGAGCCATTTTTAGAATAGTGTTGTGGAAGCCAGTGTGTCTATACCTGGAGAAGGGGAGCAACTCCTCTCTCCGACAGCTGATGGATAGATATTCAGTAAAAGTGTAGCTTTGCCGCCTTACTTTGGTGCTTTGTTCATTTTTGCAGATACCCAGAGATACTACAGAGGTTTATATTGATGTGCTTTTCATTGACTGGTCTAGTTTTTCCAGTTAGAATTCAGGTCATATTGGGAAATTGAAAATAACCCTAAATATAGAGCAGAGAGTTTCTGTGACCTCATTTAATTTTTTTCAAAACTATAAAGATCATGTAAAACATTGAACACAGACACAGTTTCTTTTACCTGTAGTTAATCCATGCATTTTGAAGATTAAATGGACTGAGTGCAAGTAACATCATGTGGAGTCAGTGGGACTATTCGATTGAATAAAGTTACCCATGTATAGGTATTTCCAGAACAGAATTCTTACATAATAAAGTAATTAATAATATGTAATCTTCCACCCACCCCCATACCAGGTGAGCCTAATATCACCATTTTGTTTTGATTAAGATAACCTCTTGTGTCTGGCCAGTCTCAAATTCATTATGCCTTTGTTCCCAGTCCCGCAGTGTGGATAAACAGCATGCTGTAATCAACTATGACAAGGATAAAGATGAGCACAGGGTGAAGGATCTTGGGAGCTTAAATGGGGTAAGTTGTAAATTCTTCAGCTGGCTAAAACGTGTATATACTATGTATGTCTAGGTCCTAATCGTACAACATTTATGAGCATACTTAACTTTACTTGCACAAGTAGATCCATTTTGAGTCAATGGGACTTACTCATGTGAGTGAACCCTAACACCTGCATAAGTGTGTGCATGGCTGGTTTGAGTAATGAGTTGTTTAACTAGAAGATAAACACACATCCATTGAAGTTATTTTCCTTTATTTTGGTGCTCCCTCTCTCCCCACCCCTCTGCCCCCCTCAACCTCAGCCCAGCTGAACTCATCAGTTGTTAATAAATTTGTAGAGCTGGTTGGAAATGGGTTGAAATTTTGTCTGTTTTGCATTGAAATTTTCTGACTGGCTCTATAAAACTGCAAAACTAGGAAGAGTCTTCTGTCAGCTGTTCATGCTAAGCAGGGTGACCTTGCAACAAGCCAACTGTCGTACTAATTAATGATGTACAGTATGGAATGCCATTTAATTTCTCTGAGATAAACCATTTAAAAATTGCCTTTTAAATAATGAGAATAGCCCCCCTCCTACCCTGTTTCTGTTATTAAGATTGAAGGGCAGCGTGGCCTAATGAATTCAGCATAGAGCTGGGAGACGCACTCTTGAGTCTTAATCTCTGCTCTGGCACCGACTCACTGGGTGGCTTCAGGCAAGTCACTTAGGGCTTGTCTACACACACAAGTTGTACTGCTTTAGCTAAAGCGGCGTAGTTAAAGCAGTACTGCCCCCTACTGTGGATACAGTTATATTGGTATAAAGGGGCTTTATCTGGTATAGCTATTTCTGTAGGGAAAGGAGAATACACTGTATCCGTATAAGATATCTTTATAACTATGTCCACATTAGGGGTTGTATTACTATAACTATTTTGGTTTTAAAAAAATCATTCCCCTTAAATAGTACACTGGTACAAAAACTGTATGTAGACCAGGCCTTGGACTCTCTGCCAGTGTTGTCCTCTACGAAATGTGCATGATCATCCGTCGTTATGTACCTCTCAGAGGTGTTGTGTGAAGGGTAAGTAATGGTTGGTGAGGTGATTTGAAAATGGAAAGCTCTGTAGAAGTGCTAAGTATTATTAGTTTGTACATAACTACTGTAGATGGCTCACTAGCTCAGAACTTGAGGCGGGTAAGTCTCTGTGGCAAAGCAGCAGCAACGGCTGAAAGGGACTGATCGGTGATGGCAGAGATGATGCAGGCTGCTGTGCTCTTGCTTTAAATAAATATTAATATTTAGTAGTAGTACATATAACAAACCAGCATTCATTAGAAGAGGTAAGCTCTGCGTTGGGATGTTTGTATGATGTAAGGGGAGACACCCCTCTTTCTCCCCTCTCCAACCCCCCCCCGGTTCACCGTGCCAGGCCAATGGGGACTGCGGGAAGCGGCGCGGGCCGAGGGATGTGCTGGCCACCGCTTCCCACAGCCCCCATTGGCCTGGCACGGCGAACTGTGGCCAGTGAGAGCTGCGATCGGCCTAACCTGTGGACACTGCAGGTAAACAAACCGGCCCAGCCTGCCAGCGATTTCCCTGATGGGCTGCGTGCCAAAGGTTGCTGATCCCTGTTCTAAACTATGTCACTGGATTTAATACTTGGTCTTGTCACGCATGCTTAACCTGGGCCATTGTGAAAGGATTAAGAGGGGAAAGTTATGCCCCAGCACTGAAGGCATATTTGCTCATTTTCCTTTGTAAACCTGTTTCTTCAAAGTCATTTTTGAGAGTGTCAGTTTTTTGTTGTGTTTCGCAAGCAGTGACACCGCTCTTATCCACCCAGGCAAGGAATTGCATTGCATCTCTGAAAACCCAACAACTGGCAGCTGCTGTTCATTTCCTATCGATCTAGAATTCCACCTCCGAGCATGTGATAATTCCCAGTGTTTGCCAGTGCCCATCTCCTGATCTAAGTGCAGCTGTGTGCCTAGCCCCCAGCAGCATGCCAGCATTTGTTCGCATAAGTTTGTGATCTCTTTATTTTGGAACTGGACATACCAAAAGCACTTACACACAATTGCCTGATTCTCACATGCGGATTCATTTCTTTTCTATTAGGAGGCCTGGAATCAATTTCCAGCTCTGTTGCGCACTTCTTGTGTGACCTTGGGCAAATCTCTTAATCTCTCCGGGCTTCCGTTCCCCATCTGTAAAACGGGAATAATTAGCTTGTAAGCTCTTTGGGGGAGGGGGACATCTTTTAGTTCTGTGTTTGTACAGCACCAAGCACAATGTGGCCTTAGGTATCACTTCAATGCAAATAATAATGATGCTTCCTTTCATGCCTGCCCCCCATCCCTGGTCTCTCCAGTTTATTTAAATTGTAAGCTTTTTGAAGCACAGAGCTGTCTCATAGTATGCACATGTGCAGAGCCTAGCATGGTATAGTATTCCTCTCCATGGGGGCATGTGGGTGTTACTGTGATAGCTAAAGAAAATTAAATCCAGGCCACAGAATATGAATAGTTCTAATGATTGTCAAACTATATTTTGTTTTCACTGGTTTTTAGGTGGAGCTAGGTATTTCCAGAGTTTATACATGTGTTCCATTGGGTTGCTTGGCTAAATATGTAAACATTATGCCAGGGGTCGGCAACCTTTCAGAAGTGGTGTGCCGAGTCTTCATTTATTCACTCGGATTTAAGGTTTCGCGTGCCAGGCATACATTAACATTTTTAGAAGGTCTCTTTCTATAAGTCTATATTATATATGCAACAATAGTTTAGTTATAAAGTAAACAAAAAGTTTTAAAAATATTTAAGAAGCTTCATGTAAAATTAAATTAAAATGCAGAGCCCCCCAGACTGGTGGCCAGGACCCGGGCAGTGAGTGCCACTGAAAATCAGCTCGCGTGCCGCCTTCGGCATGCGTGCCATTGGTTGCTTACCCCTGCATTATGCCTTTCATCAAAAGATGGTCTATGCTTCTGTCTTGCAGACTTTTGTGAACGATGTCCGGATTCCTGACCAGAAATACATCACACTAAAACTGAACGACGTGATTCGCTTTGGCTATGATATCCTTATTGCCTGAGCAGAGCATTACACACTATTTTTGTTTTTAAGTTCTCTGTTGTTATGTTGAGGGTTAAATACCCTTAATTATGGCAAATGACTAAGTGTGTTGATGTTGCCTTTCAGAGCCTCTGGATGGCTCATCAGCTTAGAATTTCTGCACTGTGGGCTTGATCCAAAGCGTGCAAATATCAACTCCCTTTGATTTCAGTGGGCTTTGGATCAGGCCTTATGTTGGCAGTAGCTGCATTCATCACGGGTGCCATCTCTAGCTCTCTCATCTTAATGGGACTAAATAATCTCCATCCAAGAATATCAAAGGAACTGGCACATGAAATTGCAAGTCCAATAGCAAGGATTTTTAATGTATCTGTAAACTGGGGGGGTGGGTGGGTGGGAGGAGCATACCTTATGACTGGAGAATTGCTAATATAGTTCCTATATTTAAGAAAGGGGAAAAAAGTGATGTTCGAAACTACAGGCCTGTAAATTTGACCTCAATTGTATGGAACAAATTTTGAAAGAGAAAGTAGTTAAGGACGTAGAGGTGAACAGTAATTGGGATAAAATACAACATGATTTTACAAAAAGATAGCTCATGCCAGACCAACTAATCTTCTTTGAGACGATAACTGATACTTTAGACAATGGAAATGCAGTAGATCTAATCTACCTGGATTTCAGTAAGGCATGTTACAGTTCCACAGGGGAAATAATTAGTTAAATTGGAGAAGAGAGGGATTAATATGAGAACTGAAAGGTGAATAAGGAACTGGTAAAAAGGGGCAAGCAACTACAAGGGTCATACTGAAAGATGAACTGTCAGGCTGGAGGGAGGTTACTGGTAGAGTACTTCAGGGATTGGTCTTGGGATCAATCTTATTTAACATTTTTATTAATGACCTTGGCACAAAAAGTGGGAGTGTGCCAATAAAATTTGCAGAAGACACAAAGTTCCTCCAATAAAGATGAAGACTGGAATATCATACAAGAAGATCTGGATGACCTTGAAAACTGGAGTAATAGAAATGGGATGAAATTTAATAGTGGAAAGTGCAAGGTCATGCACTTCGGGACCAACAAGAAGAATTTTTGCTATAAGCTGGGGACTTATCAATTGGAAGAGACAGAGGAGGAGAAAGACCTGGGTGTATTGTTCATAGGATATCTGTGAGTCGCCAGTGTGATGTGGCCATGAAAAAGTCCTAGGATGCATCAGGCATATTTCCAGTAGAGACCTGGAAGTGTTAATACCATTATACAAGGAGCTAGTGAGACCTCATCTGGAATACTGTGTGCAGTTCTAGTCTCCCATGTTTAAGAAAGATGAATTCAAACTGGAAATGGTGCAGAGAAAGGCTACTAGGATGAGCCGAGAAATGGAAAACCTACCTTATGAAAGGAGACTCAAAGAGCTTGGCTTGTTTAGCCGAATCAAATGAAGGCTGAGGGGAGGTATGGTTGCCCTCTATTAAAATATCAAAGGAATAAATACCAGGGAGGGAGAGGAGTTATTTAAGTTAAGCACCAATGTGGCCACAAGAACAAATGGATACAAACTGGCCATCAACAAGTTTATGCTTGGAATTAGTTGAAGGTTTCTCACCATCAGAGCAGTGAAGTTCTGGAACGGCCTTCCAAGGGGAGCAGTGGGGGCAAAAAAACCTAACTGGCTTCAAGACTGAGATTGATAAGTTTATGGAAGGGGTGGGATAATGAGACTGCCTACAATGGCATGTAGCCAATCTACGACTGCTAGAAGCAAATATCTCCAGTGGCCAACGATGGGCCATGTAGAGGAGCAGACTCACCCCTGCGGCACCTCCTGCTGGTGACTCTGGGAATTAGCTCGATCCAGCCGTCAGAGCACCCTCTGCAGGCTGGTGATCCGCCTGTCCTCTGGCCCTGTGTCCCTCCCAGGACCCCGGTGCCCCTTTCTCTGGGTGCTGCCCCCTGGCAGTACACCCCTTAGTACTAGGGTCTCCCCTCCCAGGGGGCCCCCCCACCACTATCCCTACCTTGCCTCAGTATCAGGCTACTGCCAGTCATAGTCTAGCCCCATACCTGGGGCAGACTGCAGTATCAGCCTACTCATCACTGGCAAGGAGGGTTTGGACCTGCTGCCTTGGCCTACCTCTGGGCTCCCCTCTGCAACCCCCAGTTCCCCTTGGCCCAATGCTAGGCCGCAGCCTGGGGCTTTCCAGGCTAGAGCTCCTCAGCCTTTCCCCAGCGCTGCTCCACTCAGATACCCTCAATCTCAAGCTCCCTGCAGCCAAGTCCTTCTCTCTCCAAGTGCAGAGAGAGACTCTTGGCCTCTGCCTCACAGCCTTTTTATATAGGGCCAGCTGAGGCCTGATTGGGGTGTGGCCCAGCTGCAGCTGCTTCCCAATCAACCCATCTTAGCAGCTCCCAGCCACAACCTTCCCCCAGGGCTGTTTTAAGCCCTTCAGGGCAGGAGCGGGGTAACCACCCCGCTACAGGCCACTAGATGGGGAAGGCTCTGAGTCACTACAGAGAATTCTTTCCCAAAGTGTCTGGCTGGTGGGTCTTGCCCACATGCTCAGAGTCTAACTGATCACAATATTTGGGGGCAGGAAGGAATTTTCCCATGGGTCAGGTTGGCAGCATGGGGCATGGGTCACTTGCTGGTTTAAACTAGAATAAGTGGTGGATTCTCTGTAACTTGAAGTCTTTAAATCATGATTTGAGGACTTCAGTGACTCAGCCAAAGGTTATGGGTCTATTACAGGAGTGGATGGGTGAGGTTCTCTAGCCTGCAATATGCAGGAGGTCAGACTAGATGATCATAATGGTCCTTTCTGACCTTAAAGTCTATGAGTACAGGTTGTTTTTTTTTAATTGGAGCCCTGGATGTTACACTTCACCAGGCACCAGTCTGGGAGCAGACATGAAATTATGTATAGTTGTACAAGTGTGTGTGTGTGTGTGTGTGTGTGTGTGAGTGACAGAGCTTGCGCAACATCCTCCTAGGATTTTATTTTTTTACCCCTGCACAGTACAGATTTTCTGCTATACTGAGGCCCATCCTGTTATTTGCAGGAAAAACTTGTCTGCCAAAAATGCACCTGTGTTGCTTTGCCTGCAGGTGACTTGTGCCTGCTAACCTTAGTAGTTAAATGTCTAGCTCCTGCAAATTGCTGCTGGCACGAAATATGTGGACACATCTATTCATTTTGCAGCTGCAAACTGCACCTTGGTGAGGGAGGCCAGGCCCTGGACATGTGACTACTGTTTGGTTATGAAATGTGTAGACAACCAGTCTGTGCTGAAACATTCTTTGATATCTGCATCCTCCCCCTTCCAACCTGCCTACTGGTTTGTTCCATCCATCTGTCACATCTTGTCTTTTAGGCTGTAAGCTCTTTGCTGCAGGGACCTGTCAATGACTAGATGTTTGTACAGTGTATGGGGCCTCAACCTGGTGGAGGTCTCTCCGTACCGCAGTATAAGGCACTGATCCAGCAAGGTGCTTACACATGTGCCCCATCTTGAGAGTGCGAGTGACATCAACAGGAATTCTTGCGTACTTAAGGTGAGGCATGTGTTCAAGTGCCTTGCTGAATTGTGACTTGTATGGCTAATATGTTGGCATACTAATAATACTCCAATATTACCTCTTGGGATCTCTGATTTGATATATACAGAAACCCGAAGAAGACTATTGTAAACTTGAATGCATACAAGATGTTAAGCCAATGGCGAGAGTGCAGGTAGATTTTAATGACTGTGATACAGATCTAAACTTTTCCAGTAGCTCTGGGCATTGTATGTCATAGTCCAAGGGCCTAATCATGTAGCCTTTACTTGTGGCTATTCCTGTTGAAATGAAATATTGCAAATGACCAGGCATCTGTATGTTGCCCCTCAATGGGAAGACTTCCGAGAGTGAGGGCTGCAGAGGCAGTCATCATTAAGCACAAACTGCACTAAATATGATTTCTGCCCATTCTTTGCCATGACATTTTAAAGAGTGCTTTCTTTAAAGTGCCTCTCTTGTTCAGCCCTATACCAAAGGCAGCATCTTTTCTATGCTATGAGTCAGCTGAGCTCTGTTGCATAAGGGCGTGCAGCTCTTTTTCCATTGAGAGTGGCACTCACAGGCTCGTGAGGTTTCCCTACTATGTTCATGCCACTTGTGTCTATTTTTAGTTTAACATTTCCCACCCTGTTCTTTTTCCCCCTCTGCTCTGTGTAATCTTTATAGGGCTGCTTTTGACAACATTACTGAAAGTTTCCTTTATACGTTTTCTGTGCAGCAGAAACTATCTGAGCCCAAACACATGAATATTGCCCTTTTTTGAGAGGTTATAGCAATTCACCCCCCGAGTTACTCTCCACACAAGAAGCTAATACTGACCAAAAACTTGTTAGTGCAGAGCAGGATTGTGCCGTGGTCCTATGTGGCTATGCAGGGAACTAAAGCTACCCATCCTCCTCTTGCACAACCACATAGGACTATTCCAGTTATGGCTTGGGCATTGAGGGGGAAGGGCAGGAGGATCTGTGAGTGGACAGTCATGGCTCTGAATTCCTTCCCACGGCTCCCCCTGGTCCAGTCCAGCTGTGTATCACACAGTGCTGTGCCTAAAGGCTAAAAATAGCCTATAGAAATTGATATATATGTTGCAAAATATACACACTGTTGTTTTAAGGCAATAATTATATTGGGCTGTTTAGTTCTGGTAGAGTGACGACTATTTTCAGTTTCTTCATCAATTTTTTCCTTTTAGGCTTTTCCAGTTGTATAATCACATCTGTTTCAGTTACAGTATCACTGCGTATTTAATTCCTTCCCTGCTTCCTTAACAAGCGCCGTACATTCTAACATGTATGTCTTGGAACAAATTCAACACAAAGTACCAGAGGAAGCATTAAAGGTAAGCACGTATGTTATTTTTTGTATGGAGATACTGGTATTTGTGAAGCAATGACAGCATTAAACAGCAAAACCCTACAGCATGTTCTTAAACAACATCCTACATTTTTTCAGCACACCAGTGACAGCTTTGATAATGAATTGTGGGAAAAAAACCACAACTTAAGGTTTCCCTTCAATATGTGCTTGGGAGGACCTCACCTTGAGGATAGATGCATCTCCCAGCTAGCCCAGATCTACTCTGTCCTTTCCCAACACTAGCATCTAACTGAAATTATTTATGATTTCATGACTGCCCGCTAAACAAAGGGCACTAAAGCTTTAGTGTATAGAGATGAACTCTCAGCACATTCAGCTTTTCTTCAGTCCTCCTAGAAATGTCCTCCTAGAAATTAAGCAATGAAGGGTGACCTTTCTTTGGGTGCTGTGGCTTATGTCAGCTCCTTAATGCTTCCTCCAGTGAGCCAACGTTTGCTCAATTTACTCTCCGTAACAATCTCAATTTCAATAGCCTCTATTTCTCTCCAAAGATCCTAGATCTTCCTTATGACTTTTCTTATAGAGCAGTTTCACTTACTTCAGTAAAATGGCTCCCCTAAGCATGAGCTGTAGGATCAGATACAAAACATACCAGACTCACTTCACCCATGACAGAAAGTCAGTCCCCTCTGGAGAGGAATGCCATAGGCGTTTCACAGCTCACAGCAACGCTACACAGCATTTAGAACAAGAAATACCAATACCAAATGTCAACCTTCAATTGACAGTTATAGTCTCACACCCCAGGTTCCATATTTAAGTCTACTTGTGTAGAAGGGTAGGACTGGATGAATCATTCATTGAACTTACTCAGACCTGATTTTTATGGAAACACCCTTTCCTGTAGATCCAATTAGATCATTGACACTGCCCAGCTTTAAGGGGAACCTAACTTTATGCAATATAGCTTTCCGAGCCTTCTGTCCAGATGTGAGACAATTAATGATAAAATATGTTGAGGTGTCACTGAAGCCTTAAGAGAAGGTAGATAAAAGGATGGGTTTGGAAGACTTCATCATGCTGTTGTAAGACTAAAGAGCCGTGAGGGGGTTCAGTATTTGAATCCTGAATGGGAGGTGCGTTCATTCCAACTGTCCTTTGGTTATTTTTTTTAAAGCGTCTCCTAATGAGATGTTTCTTGGGGCAATGTCACTTAATATCCTTCTAAATGAGGTATTTGAAAGCTTCTCAGCTGGTATTTATATAACTCCATAGCCTTTGTTCAGGCATGTCTTTTATTCTTGTTCTTGAGCCAGGGTCGGCTCCAGCATTTCTGCCGCCCCAAGCAAAAAAAAAAAAGACCGCGATTGGCGGCGGCAGTTCAGCGGCAGGTCCTTCGCTCCTAGAGGGAGTGAGGGACCTGCCACCCCCGAATTGCCGCAGGTGCCGCCCCTCTTCCGTGGCCGCCCCAAGCACCTGCTTGTTAAGCTGGTGCGTGGAGCCGGCCCTGTCTCGAGCACAGCCACGATATTTGTTCTTATATGATCACATGGGGAGATAGTTTGCTCTTTTCATTGCCTGTTGTATGGCACCGCATAGCCTTGTCCACATTTTTGCTTCTCTGTCTGCAGCACGAAAAGTATACTAGCCAACTTCAGATGAGTTTCAAGGGCACCGTGATGAAAAAGGTGGAGCAGCTGGTGGAACATGGTGGTTATACCGAATCCCCGCAAGCAAAACTGGAGAGAGGAGAGAAGAAAGCAATTACAGGTA